GTATGGGTGTGAACATGGGCGTGAGTGTGGGTGAAAAAATGAACTACACCCACATTCACACCTAAAGAAGCAAGATAGTGTTGTAGAAAAAGACTGATAAGAATCTTTATGTACCTTTATTATATGACAAAATGTTTTTAACTAGCATTAATAGTCTCTTCAAAAGTTTCAACACTCATTTGCAAAACGAAGCCTAAATAAAAAACAGAATGCGCACATTATTCAAAACAATGCTTACACCTTCATCCAAATATGAAAATAAAAAAATATATAACATGCATAGATCACGTCTAGGCAGATAATAAGAGGTTGTTATTTTATGCAAAACAAGTTTTTCTTCTTTATTTTATTCTTATCACTGCTAGTTCGTCCTGTATTATACTTTCTCTTGATGTGACTGACGCAGCATTTTAAATCTTGTCGGATAAGAAAAAAGAATAAATAGATAGACCGTAGGTTTTTTTTGTAACAGACAAAACCATTTGAGGTAACTTCTAGTACAATTTTAGCATTACACACAAAACGACGAACAATCAAATTTAAAATATGGAGAATACTGGAGCACAATCTCTGGAGTCGGGATCGACTGCTCGAAGTTCCGAGCTCATAGATAACGTAAGTAGTAAACAGAATTCAATTATTGGAGTAGCGGTATTTTTTCTGCATTGTAGTGGGTGAAAGACTATAATCGTCGATCACAAAGCGAAAGCGATAAGTAGATAGCTCAGTAGTTTATTTTATTCTCTCATTGTTTTGAATATTTTAGAATTAAAGATTACGGACAAATACATTTTGCATTAAATGATCGTACATCACAGGTAAGTCTAAAGAGTTTCCTATTAAGAATATTGACCTTGTTCAATTTAGTATATACGCTACCCGTTCAAAGTTCATAACAAGAAGTATTCAGGGGCTCAAGTGAATGTTCACGAGCAGAGGCAAAGCACTGATCCCGATGAAAAAATAGTTAATCAATCAAGTGCTTCTATGCTTATAAAACTGCCTCATACACATTTGGCTGGTTCGTATAGAACTAAAAACTACGAATCGGCTACACATATTCTTCATTTATTATGTGACATATGGCAGTTACCTCCACCTAAACTTATAATCTCAGTTACAGGTGGCACTAAGTTCTACAACCTAGCGGAGAAGAGCCGTATTTCACTTCAAAAAGGGCTATTCTCGGTTGCTATCACTACTGGTGAGAATCATAATTCATATTCTACTTATCTCTCTTTCTTTAAGTAGATGCTTGGGTGTTTACCGGAGGAACACATGCCGGAGTTATGAAGGATGTGGGTGAGGCATTCGAAAAATGGGCACACGAGAGTAATGATCGAGGCAAAGCTCATGCTCGAGTTCCTGTTATTGGAATTGTAAATTGGCATCGTACGACAAGTAAGATATAATGAACGTACAGTTACTTCGATACTTTCTTATTAATATTGAAAACAGATAACGAACAGTTAAAGCAAGGTGTTGGGAAAAGAGGTTGTGAAAAACTCTATCGCAGTCGTTCGCAACAAAATAAATCTGCAACATATTCTCTCGATCCAAATCATACGCACTTTATTCTTCTCGACGACGCATGTAAAAGTGAAGGAAAAAAACAAGAATATAGCATTCACACCGACAACACTCTTGCTTTGCTCCTTAAAATTGAACGGGAAGCTAGTGAAAGTTCGTTTTATAAACATACTAATTAATGTAATGCATTGTTTTACTCACTGATTATTTTTTGTTTGATAGAGTACACAGTACCAATTATTCAAATACCGATCAACGGTGGCCATTTATCTCTTCTAACAGTGATTGAAGCAATAAAAAATAAAATGCCTGTCATTGTTGTTAAAGTATATGTTCCACTTAAATCCATTAGTAACAATTATAAAATGCATTCTTATTTTGATAGGGGACGGGGAGAGTAGCTAATTTAATAGCGGAGGCATATGAGAAATTGTATGACAATCAAACATCATATGTTCAACCAACAGACCCTCTTTCCACTCTGTAATATGGAAATATACTTATGCAAAAACAAAAAAACGATTAACTTGTATTTTAGAGAACCACTAATAATAAAGAAAGAATATGAGGGAATCGTCACGAATAGAAATCGAGGATATTTTCATGAGATGATAACGTCAAAAGAAGGCTTCTTATTAATTAATATTTTTTCACCAAATCCTGATGATTCCGAATTCGAATTGGGTGATGTCATATTCAACGCATTACTCCGAGGTATGCGCTCTTATTCAGTTCTACATTTGATTGACTTTCTTATCTAGCGGCAAACATGCTTACACCTAAAATGTCTGATGTTCACGTACAAAAGTTCATCTTGGCTATGACTTGGAAAAAATACGATATGGCAACCTCGGATATGGTTAAAGAAACTAGCAAAACTTCCTGGACAGTGAGTACTAAAATGGTCGAGAATGTTTAACTTTCACATTCAAATATTTTCAAAAGGATAATCAGTTAGACATTGCCTTAATTAATGCCATACAACGTAACTCTGTTCTATTTGTTGAATTTCTCATTCAGCAAGGTGCATCATTTAATCGACTTCGACAATTGATTACTATCACAAACCTCTATAAGAAAGTAAGTGAGATTCGGTTGATTTTATACATAACTGGAATATTTTTAGGAATTTCATCTACAATTGCCGATTCGAAATTCTCTGATTGAGGATATTAGGAAACCACAATACTACTATGAAGAATATTTGAATACGAAAGCATGGGAAACAACAAAAGACCTCCAAGTAAACTAAGACTATAAGGCAACTTTCACGAAACCATTTTGTTTTCTCTTTTAGAAAAATGATGTGTCACATCAGGGTAAGACAAAATATAAACTCATAGATATTCTTTTCGTTTCTCTTATTTACTTTCGATTCTAGCCAATGTTACGACATATTGCACTATGGATGTAGATGTAAACAAGCATCAAGATAATGTGTGCGCACACACACTCGACACCGACATCCATATTAACATATCTACCCACACCCTCACTAAAGTCATGTAACCCAACCAAACTCGACCAGAGGACAGGTTCGGGTATGATCTCCTCGAGTCGGGTCGGGTCGGGCTCGCATTGCATGGAAAAATTTATCGGGTTTTATTTTTCGACAACATATGCTCGTGCCTTTTATTGTTTTTTAATGTGTTGTCTATATAGAACAATGAAATAGTAAGCTATTCAATTATGTACCATAAGTTGCGAGTATTTACTAACATTTTCTTCACAATCACTCTTGAAAATATTTGATTTCTTATTGAACTGTTTTTAGGTTACTTAATGGCTATAAAACCTATAATGGCTCTTCACCTGGATACACGCACTGAGTCTTTGCTACGAAACGCTCCTAAGATCAGTATAAATATAAAATGATTCAATATCAAAATATGAATCCATCTAAGCCCGAGATGAATTCTTGACGGCTTGATGCAAAACCGTTACCGTTTCCTCTCGAACCTGGATGGTTTAGTATTTTTGATGCGGAATCTTTTTGCATCCTACCGAACTTAAAAAAGTTGCGTAACAAAGGTTCTGGGCATGTATCTAGATGGAAAACTATTATAAGTTTCATAGCTACAATCGAACCTAAAAAAGGTTCGACAGAAAGTCAACTTTTCTAGAGTAGGCATGAGGAAACAGTTAGTAAACATCCACACCCGTTGGTACATAATCAAATGGTTTACTATTTCTTCTATATATCGTGTAGACGGAACATTGAAAAAGTAAACTATTCGGTTATGTACAAAATGGTGTATCTGTCTTCTAATCTTTCGTTCATATGCGCACTCAAACCCATTCATCCTTACCACTATATCCATGCTTACACCCCACGCCAACACTCCACCCCCTCATCCCGCAAAGGAATCCATTTACTGAAAAAATAAGGAATGCTATTTCTCGGTCAGAATTCGGTGTCGGGTTCAACCTCTCCGATCGGATAGGATACCGGGTTTAATAAAAAGTATTGGATCGAGCTCGGGTATGAAAAGTCGTGCCAACGCAGGACTCTAACTCTCAGCCAACACTTACACACCCACACCCATTGAATCTTGAAGCTGACAATGAAATCCATTCGACCGATGGTGCTGTTACATTTAAATATAGAAACTGCAGAGTATTCATTAGTTTTGAACTGATTTCTACTTCAAGAACAAGTATTACTTATCAATCATATAGATTTGGTTGTATTCCTGAGATTCCCACAAAATAATATAATCGTATAGATTAGATAAGTTCTTTTATGATTGAAAAGAATATTATGAAATCAATTGCAATGTGGGAGCTCTATTCGACTATCAATAGAAGTGAAACTAAATTATTTTATTGGTTTAGGGTTTATTCGTGATATTCTTCTCTGGTCAATATTTGCTGGTAGCTTGAATTTGCCAATGTGCTTGTGTTCACACAGTCCAGTATATTTGTTTCTTTTTAAAGCATTTTAAACAAAACAAAAGTTGTTTTATATGATTATACTTTAGAACACAATTGTCGCTGCTCTGATAACCAGTAAAATTTATAAAAGAGCAAGTGAATTGGTGAAAAAAGAAGAGCGAATACGAGAATACCGTGAAAGAAAAAAGTATGACGAATCTTCTTTTAGAATCTTTAATGACATATTTTGCTTTGTTTATCAGAGAATTTGATGAACATGCAGCACAAATTATTGATAAATGTTTTTCCCAAGATGAAAACCTTGCTCTTAATATATTGACAACAAAATCAGAACTGTACTTTGATTATACACCAATTGAACTAGCAGAAGAAGCAGGTTGTCGTGCATTTCTAGCTAGTAGATGTGTACAAACACATGCCGATCAACTCTGGTTTGGTCATATCAGCGAGTCTATACATAAGAAAACGATTGCAAATATATTGGTTAGTGATGCCTGACTTCGTTTAATTGAATTATTGAGATTTTTCAAATATTAAAGATATGTTTCCTGTGCATTTTTCCTTTTCTCGTAATGATTCCGAACATTTATCAATTGATTAAATCACCAAGCAAAAATCAAAAGTGAGTTATTCACAAAAAAAAATTTAATTTTAAGCAGCTTGATATTTAATGATTTCTTGGATTAATGTAAACCAAAAGTAAATATTTTGCTTAATTGAAACTGAGATTTTTTGCCTAAAATTTTTATATTATTAACAAAAATATAAAATATGTCATTAAGTAGTCAGCAAAAACGAACAGCATTCGAGCGGCTCAAGGATTTCTTTATCGGACGAGCGATTGTTCGATTCTATTATAATGTTGTAAGTGATAATATTCGACTTGAAAGTAGCCATAAATTTGATGTCGTTTTAGATATTTTACATAGTCGTCCTTGGTCTCTTCAGTTTTGTTATGCTTGTCGACTATTTTCCATACAATAACAATGGACTTGAACGTAGTGGATATCCCATCGGCATCCCTATCACTGAAATAATTCTTCATTTATGTATTTGGGGTTTGATCATTGAAGAAATAGTTCAGGTAGGTATATAAAAACTAATCATTTTATTAAAACAATGCTCTTTGACTTTGAGTCGATTTGACAATAATATCAATTTGTTCTTAGTTTCAAAAACACTATAGTCACAATAAGAAAAATGATAATTCACTACAGACTATACTGTCATCGTATTTTCTCGATGATGCATGGAATACACTTGATGCCATAGCTATTTTCGTTTACCTTATCGGTTTCTTTACAAGATTCATTGTCATCGAAGCAGCCTTTATAGTCTCAAAGTTAGTTCTTTTAATATTAATTTTTCATTTTATTCTTTCCTGTTGTGTTTCTTTTTGAAAGAATTTTCATGTGTATTGATCTCTGTTTGTGGTACGTACGCATTCTTCATTTGTTTGCCGCTTACGAGCGACTTGGACCCAAATTATTAATGATAGGTAACACCGTAAGTAGAAATATTCTACTTCTCTAATCTGATTCTTTGCAAGTCATTTTCAGATGAAAGATTTAGCCTTCTTCCTTGTTTTTCTTATTGTTTTTCTTGCTGCCTATGCAATCAGTTCTTATTCTCTAATCACAACTTCAATGCAAGTTACTTGGAATTCAGACGGGAGTGATTTATTTTCTCAAAGTTTTACTATCAGTAATAATGGCACAGGTCTCGGTGAATGGACTCTTCTGCGGAATGTTCTGGGCTGGGGTATATGGAAAATTTTCGGCCAAGTTGATCTTACTGAAAATGAGGAAAGTCCTGATTTCTCGGTTTCCGGTAAGGTCTATCATATTATTGTTCATAATATCGGACATATCTCCACATAGCTGAAAATGATGCTTATGGAAATATTGCATTTGTGTTGACAATCATCTTTGTTTGCATCGCCAATGTACTACTACTCAACATACTTGTGGCTCTTTTTAAGTGAGCATTGGATTTTTCAATAATGATTCCTTATGAATGAAGTTAACGCACTCATTGTTAGAAAACGTCTTTTTTTTTTCATCGAAGTCATAGCATACGATTTTTTTAAATACATTTAATAGGTACTAAAAATCAACCTACTAAATTAGTGATGAGTACTGGGCTCCTGAGAACACTAGTTTTGTCATGATTTCATGCACTTTTGAATTGGTCTCAATTATATAAATCACTGAAGATAGTTTTTAAACACCTGCAATGAAAATTTCATGCATCGGAAAAGACCTTCGAAATATTTAAAATTTTATTAATATAAAAGAAAGTTTTTGAAAAAAAATGTGAATATATTCAGTGCATAATACTTGTTATAAAAATCAGCGAATGACTGTTAGAATTATTTTCCTCTTCAAAAGACTTCAAATAGGCAAGAGATATATAAAAAAGAAAACATTTTAGATAAACCACAGACAATATGTTGATCCAAAATGAGGATCATTTAGTAGAGAACAGAGTTATGCCTGATTAGCTCATCAGCAAGGCAAAAATGTAATAAGATAAATTTAATACGGTGTGACTGATGGCATCTACATTGATTTTTACTTAATACATAATACCCCTTATTGTATATATATATATTGTTTTCAATCATATTCGATGGGTAACATTGTTAACCATGATTATAATTTTAAACCATTATTTATACTCAAAACATCATTAACGTGCAGTATAAGGAGAAATTTCTTATATGACGAGTCAGAAAATTCTCTGCCAATATCGGTAGTCATTTATAACTTGTAAAAATGTGAATTAATATTGAATTGATTTGTTGAACAGTAGTCATATTTCATGTTCCGACACAATCGAATTCAAATTGATAAACTGACATCTTAATATCATATATGCTTGAACTACTTTTTTTTTCTAGTATTACACTCATAAAAACCACCAATAATGTACAAAAAGATTGGCCTTATCATCGGTTTCGACTCGTTAGAGAGTATTGGGAAAAGTCTCCAATACCATCACCATTAAATATAATATATTATATCGGGCAACTAGTTCTGAAGTGTTTTCGGGCTTTACGTAAAAAAGAAGGTAAGTTTTTCACAAATAAATCTAGTCAATCGTGACAACAATTACAAAGTATAGTATAGTAGTTATGTAAAATTAATTCGAGTAATAATTTCTATTTTTGTACATATATAAATCTAAAAAACTAATCATATGACTTTAATGAGTTAACTATAAGTATGCGTGCAAATCTTCTGTTAAATAACAGTCCTATTATGAACCCTTCTTCGCACCTTGGAAATAACACTCATTAGAAATCTAGCATGTCTTTGCAATAACATCTCAAAAAATTAGTCATTACAAACTCAGACTTCAACTATATCGAAAATATCACAAGAAGTCTTTCTTGCTTCTCGATATGTCCAAACAACAAAAACAAAAGTCTACATTTCCTTACTCTTTTATTCTAGTCTTAGTCTCACTTGTTTTCAACTCAAATGGATTATTTTACAGAAGAAAAAATCCATTTGAGTACAAGCTATATAGTTCTAACATGTATCATCTTTCTATTTTCTAAAGTAAAGCTAAACTAACATTCTTTAATTGATAGATGAAGACACTAGATTCTTGCCAGTTTTTTGTTATTGAAACAAGATATGATGTCTCAATAGACAGTAGTCCAGTTTGTTTCAATAAATTTTAACAAATTCAACTGCTATCTGTTAACAGATATATTATAATTTTATATTTGCTTATCGCGAATATCAGTAAAATAGTAGAGCTGCAATGACCATTTACGCTTTCCATATTGATTAGTTTTGTGGAACTCACATATATTTTTGAAAAAAACAGTGAATGTAACTCTTGTATGCCGGCTTTCCGGCTCCTTCGTCTCCTCACAAGCCGTGATAGAGAACTTCAGAGATCATCACAGACCGTGACGGGCAGGCTTCAGAAGCATATAAAAGCATGAGATTCATAGTTCAATATGTGATTCAAGACTGTCTATTACTATGATGTCATTAGGACATATGAACTATTTTGGTTAACTCCCCACTATACAGGTGAAGACTTATGAAAGAATAAATGCAAAATATATTAAAACAAACAGTTTTTTAGGGAATTAGAAAGAGTAACTACGCTGTACTTCACATTCGCAATTCCTTAGGATTGCGGTATTTTTTGAACATTACAAAGTTGGATGAATGAAATTATTTAATTGGAAATAAAATATAAATGTGTTGAGTTTCAAGAAGAGTACATTTTCTCACGCGCCTATTGGTTTTTAAAATTATCACAATTCTATCTCATTTATTGAATAATATCTTTAACAAATTACTTTCGAACATTTAAAAATATACCATAAATTTATCAAAGTCAGACGTTGTGAGTTCCATATTTTAACATCGAAGGAGCTACACTGACAAGTTTTCTCTTAATTTAACAGAAAAAGTGTACCCAAACATAGAGAAGAAAATCAAAATCTAGAAAAACGTAAAGTTTCATGTTAACAAAGTGATAAAGAAATATAGGTGACAAAGAACATATAAAAATCAGGAATATTAATCAATGAGCTGTTTACGATTTACACGAACACTTTTTATATTTGTTCATAGTTGAGGAATGAATTCAGCATATCATTCATAAGTAAGTTTTAGTTATTATATTGCTGATAAACAACGTACATTTTAAATGTACGAAGATAGAACGTACAGTGCAAGATAAGGTAGCCCTATTAGTTAACAATTAGTATTGATATAATGCTTCCTTTTTCTAATTAATGATCATTTCAATCTATCTTCAGTTCAAAATCAATCGAACTAGTGCAATTTTCTAATTCAGTAAAGCAAAAAAGTGTAGATTTTACTAAGTAAAATAAATGTATTGCAGATCGAAAGACTACTCTTATTTTAATATAATTAACCGTGATATTAAAACAAAATGAACTTGCATATGTATGAAAAAGTACATCTGAACACAACATTCATACTTATAGTCACATCTTCGTAAGTCAGAGTGATGATTACATTGATAAACATATCGATACCCATTGGTATTCATCCTCCAATTAATGAATAAAATATGGAAAGAATGAGATCGATACAAGATGATTGTGATTTCATTCTGACTTTAATCTTTTTAGACAATGGATTTCGTTCTTTCGATAACCATAATGATTTAGATGCCGATGTAACCAATTTGATCGTATTCAATGCTGATAATCCTGTCCCCTATGATGGCAATATTAGTAGGATATTTATCAAGTTTTGCAAACCTCCAAAGGATCCCAAAGCAAAAATTAAAATATACATTATTAAACCAACATCGGAGAGTCTCCAATGTTTTCATATAACAGAACAGATAGACTCATACGTCTCCAAATTGACAACACGTAGATCAGTAAAGGAGGGATTTCCCGTTCAAACGTTCAATGTTAAAGAAAATAATTACATTGGATTCAAGTTTACTGAAGGTTCCGGTAGTCCTTTCTCCACTGACAGTGCTAGTTTTTATATTGAACACAGCGATGATCATAACGAAAACAGGATAAAATTTACTCGATGTGAACACCATGGTATTACCGCAACCTTTATTGTGAATCGGGGAGACAGTTCAAATCAGCCAAACATATCAAATATGAGTGGTCATGTGAATATAGAGATGATCAATGAGACAGAAAGCATACAAGGTGAGACACAATCAGCTTTGAGTGCTATTCCAATGACAACTTTAAACGATGACAGTGAACAAATAAACAAAGAAGAACAGAAAAAGTCAGCCGCTACTGTGCGATGTACACAAGATCTCAATAGTACGATCACGATTTCAATCATTCATAAAACCTCTTTTTTTCTTGTTTCTCTTTGTTTCAGATCTGACTTCATCACGAAAGTACGTTCACGTGTTACGTGAAAGTAACATAGGCCAAGACTACTGGCAACCTCTCTTGCAAAAAATTATCCAAGAAGAACGAGATCAGTTCACAAGCAAAAAAAACATGTATTGACGTACGAGCAACAACTACAGAAACAAGAACAGAAACTCATCGAGTTGCTTGAAAAAGATATTAATTAAAGCCAAGCTAGAACACAATCGTATATCAATAACATGTCCTACGACGATCGTACTAGACTACGAATGACTATCTCAAACTATGATCGTTCATTATTGTCATTTTTTTGAAATTTTCTTAATGATTGTCCAATGTTTTCCTCATGAAATTATTGTGTTACTTTCTTATTCGCACCGATGAAGATGATAGAACATCGACTGAAGCGTATGTTATTATAAGAGGCTGTGAGTGTGAGTGTGGGTATGGGTAGAGAAGTGCTATATGAACGAACACTCCCACACCCAGCCACACCCCCACACTCACACCTCACCCTCAGGCGAGGTGGGAAGGCGGAAGTCATGGGGTAGGGCCTGTGTAGCATGAAAATTTCCTGCCTCGCACATCTCTGATATGTGTATTCCCTCAAAATTTCATGGGATGTTACTCGAAATGATGTCATTCACGTCCATGCATGTTCCATCCAATATTAATGTTTAAGATGCAAGAATTTAAGGTTAGAAGGATAAGATTTCCGAGATCCTCAATAAGCTTGAAGTTTGAACTAATTCAGATTCCAACACGCACTAATTCAAATTGTGATTTAGTATGAACTTAGGACGTGCATGAATGTGGTAGTTGGTGGAATGTGGATAAGGGTGTGTAAAAAAAGATCTACACTCACCTTCACACGCTCGACTTTATTCAAATAGGAAGAAGAAATGTGGTATATATCGTTGTGCCTAACAAGTCAAGCTCTATCGATTGGTACCTGAATTAATTTGAATAGTGAAGGAATTTCCATTTAAAAATTGATAAAAAAGTGATAGATCAGTTTTTGCAAATTTTTATGGGCATATTTGGCGCTGCCTCGATTCAATCCATCCTAGCCGACCAAAAGTAGATCTTTAGTCCATAATACTTTGGACTATTCAATGGTTTACAAAGGCCTAACTTCTTATAGGATAGGGTTTGAAATCTGTTCATCACCATGCTTTCTCTGTCGCTGTCTTTTATATTGAACGTTTTCTTTAGTACAGATTTCGCTTCCAATTTATCTTCCGCTCCACAACAATGGAAAAAAAATGTCGAAAAGACGTATTTTTCACTGAGTTCATCAATTTATTTTCATTTTAATGGTCTTAATTGTTATGACTGTTTCTGATTTCTACTGTTGTTCCTTCTGATTAGTGCTACGTGGTAGTGAATACAATTCTATAGAATAGAAAAACAAATATTACATTTGTTAGTCTAATTTTCTATCGTCTCCATTGATGAATTCGTCATCGGTATTCTTTTTCTCTAAAAATGAGAATATTAACTATCTTTCGCAGTAGAGCGAAGAAAAAACCAATTATGCTAGCAGTCCACTTACGCTCAAAGTCAGCCTTCAACGTTTGATAATCGTTTTGGTTTGTTAAATGATCGAGTATATTGCATATGAATTGCCGTTAGAAAGTCGCTGGATTGCTTTAACTGATGATTTTCTTAAGTATTTGCTCTTTTTCATGATGCTGCTTACCTGTGCTTGTTATTTTCAACTTTTCCTCCGCACTATGGATTCCACATGGTGAGTAACGGTAGGTTTCTACCATAAAACAAAATTAGATAAGAGAACGGAGGAAAGAACGGTAAAAAAAGAACAACATTAGTTATGGCAAAGATTATAAAAGCCATTAAAATTCTTTAAAATTTTTCCTACTGATAGACTCAATTTCGAGAAAACTTTTCACCGCATACTGATTCACTAAACCCCCCCGACACATTAGAAGACTCGGGGTCTCCTATTCTGTCTTACCGTTCATAAGTTAAAAGGGGGCTCTTCTATTATGTCCCTAAAAAATCTTACTTTCATTTGATTTTTGTCCCTGATATCGTTAACAAATGAGTTTTTTTCTACTTGTTTCACTTGTACAGGGTAAAAAAAAACAAATATTATCTCGTGAGAAAAGGGAGACCATGATGCATAAGAAGTATTCTTAGCAGATACAGTCATTGTATCCCAACATTTTGGTACGATACCTGTTAGTGTTCTTTTTTAAGGCTAAGGTCTATCACTGCAATATTTTATCTTCTCGATAACTAAATAAATGCAAAAAAGAAAATTATTTTTTTTATCAAAATCATTTAATTCAGTTACTTATGTGGAAGTTTGATTAACCCCTTCCCCCTCCCTCTTACCACAGAATGGAAGTCCAGGGTGTGCTCCTGTTCCGCAAGCTATAACTTTGCAACGATGCATGTCCCGATAAGAGTTTTTGCGTTATTTGATAGAAAAATGTTTATTCTTTCATTGTTCATCGGCTTTAGTTCATTTCTCATAACG